CATCTCACTTAGTTTCTTTGAGGCTACACTTTGAAGACTATCCTCTCATCCCTTTCCTTTTAGGAAGACAGATTGGACTGTATGCTGTTATGGTTTCAATATTTAATTTAAGCAAGCCTGGTAGGTGGGAAGGGTATACTTTCCCACTGCCAAACTCCGGTGGTCCATGAGGCGCAAAGCCATCAGGGGTACTGTAGGACTACAACGACCGTTGACAGAGCCCCACAGTTTAACAGGGGGTGATATCTTTAGAACTTGCCTAGTCCAACCCTCTTCTTCCACTGATGATAAAACTAAAATTCAGAAAGTTTCAATACTTTGTCAAGGTTATACAGTTGGTAGGAGACAGAACCAAGACTACAAAAAGGCTTTTTTTTTGGGGGGGCACTTTTGGGGGTTGCTTCATTATGACAATACTAATAACTACTGATGTCAGATGTGCAAAATATGTGTCAAAGTCAAAGAATTTCAGAAAAGTCCTTAGTGCTGGATACTTACAATTATCAGGTAAAAGAGAGGGCAACATGTTGACATTTTGGAAAGAATGTCATCAATTATTAGGCAGGAACAGCCTGTGGATGCACCTAGGCAAACAAACACTTCCCTTTGTTCTCTAGGGAATTGACTGGCATTTGCTCTACAGGACTACGAGCAAGCTTCGAGACTTAACAAATACTGAGGGGGAAAAACCCTTCATAATTCAAGCTGTGGCTCAGCTATCCAAGACACATGCCATATAAGGGGCAGGTGCATCTCTCTGTGTGTATATGTGTATGTGTGTCTCTGTGTGCTCATGTGCGACTGCACACAAACATGCATGTCTGTGTGTATCGCTGTATGTGTGTACATGTGTTCTACATGTATGTTCATGTGAGTATGTGCGTGCTGCCTGTGTGAGCATACTCAGGCCTCAGGCACAGCAAGTGAGTACCCTTCACCCTGGAGTGAATCTGGGGCTGGTCTGTACCCTTCTACTGTCATTTACCAGCTTTGCTTCCTGAGCGAGTTACATTGTTTTTCTGAGTCTCCATCTTCTTATCTGTAAAATGCTATGTATAAAACTGCAAAACGAAACCGACAAGGAGTATCTATAGTCACTCAGCCATTTTAGTAATTAATGTGAGTTCACAAAACATAGTTATCTTTTATTGTAAGATCTTCAGTATGATTCGCCTCCCAAACAAATGTGATATCCAAAAGGAGACCTAGCTCTCACAAAAACATGTATTGCCTTAATTAATCCTTACAGCAACTCCATGAGTGGGGAGCAGCTGTCTCACATTACATATGAGGAGCTGAGATTTAGAGGTGTAGTCATCGTCCCAGAGTCACCCGGAGAGTGTTTAGAGGTCTGAGACACAATGTGCCTTCAAACCCAGGCTTGCGATCATTCTCTCCGTCACCTGGGCGCGTGAGGCCCGAGGCTGCTGTGAAGAACAGCAATGTGGTGATGGTGCAGCTGGCCTTGGCATTTGGTTCTCTTTACCCAACTACTGTTTGTCTTCCTCCTTGACACAGCTGTTTCTCCCTCGTATCCCAGCTGGTACACAATTGCTGAAAGGCAACCCTCCATTCCGCCCCGCGGAGACACTAAGAAAGAAGAGGCATTGGGGGACATTCAAAATGGACACACAGGGAGTGCTAGCTTCACTTAGAAGAACGTCTGCTGACACGTCTTCAAAGCTCCTGATGGTACCGCCCTGGCAAGCTCCTGACAGCCACATACTGCCGCAGGCAGGCCAGTATTCCACTCTGGAAATGAGAGGAGAACCCCTGGCACGTGAATGCTTAATCCCTTCCTAATCTCGGGAGTCTCATAAATCCTCTCTCTTCACATGTTGAAGTGTAACAACTTGGCTCTTAGACACATCATGGCCAGAGGAGGCCCAGCTAGTGAGCTATGAAATCCAGGGGATGTAGGGGAACAAAAAGACTGCCAGGAGGCTACCTTGAAATGAGTTTAAATATAATCAGTGAGAAACAGAAGCAAAATCCTACTTACAAATTATTATTTTTGTTTAGCAAGATATATAGACTTAATTTTGCACAGAAAATTGCATAGGAGAAAAACCTCTCAGTAGGGCCATTTAAAAGCAATTTAATATTTTTAATAAGGCAAATCTTTCTGATTCACAACTATTTGGCCTGAAATCTTAAAATCCAATCAAAGTCTATTTTCAATAAACGGTGCTTTACAGATTTTATTGGTCATTCAACAGCCTAAGAAAATTAACATTCTTTAGATGCTTAAATTTAATCCTAACAACAAACATTGAGCTTTCTAACTGACCTCCATGTAATTTAGTGCTTGTAAAATATGGGTTTGTTTTTCTGATATTTGGTCTCAACATTGTAAATAAGGTCAGTTTACATGCAGCCTGCAAATTTCTAACAATTTTGTCTGATTCCCCATCAGTGATTTAGAAACATAAAACACAATATATTGAGGGACAAGTAAGAATACTTGAGAGGTTTTACATTTCATTCATTAACAGTTCTTCAAAGGATTTGGGGCAGGAGGTAGGCCCATCATGAAAGTGTAAAAACCATAGCACCAGGAGAGGTGACAAGACCAGTGTCACTCAAGGAGACAAGAGGTGGGGAGCCATTTTCTCACTTTGAAATTTCTCTCTCTCTTAAGGGCAGTGGACAAGACATCAGACTAGTATTCAGTGGATCAGGGCTCTGAGCTGCGTTGCAACACCATACAGCCTCACTGAGCTTAGATTCTTGCTCTATGAGGTGAGAATAATCTTAACAGCCACCTCGTGGGATTTTGAGAAGATTTAATTCAATATAATATATGAAAATGTTTGCAAACCACAAAGTTCCCCTTTAAAATAAGAGAGTATTGGCATCTTTATAGCTGTTTCTCTGTATACCTACTCTGACCAGGATCAAATACACAACTTTATCCTTGTTAGTGACATAATATCTCTCACTGTTTAAAACTGCCCCGTTCCAGCGCCACAGACTGGTCATAAAATGGTTACCCTGGTCCCTGCGAGTGACAAAAATGTGTGGACAAACCAACACAAAACCATTCCACTGCTAGAAAAGCAAATTCAACATGGATGCACCTATTGACGTCATCTTCTTGGCCACCGTCCAATGCTGCTACTATGCACAATTCCTGTCTCTCTCCATAGCTTTGTTGTTCTCCATGAGAAGCTCACCATCATACATACACTTTATTTTACTTATTTGCTGTCTCCCCCATTAGAATGTAAGGTCTTCTCAGGAAGGAGTATTTGTTTCATTCATTGTCCTGTCCCTCATACCAAGAACGATGACTGACATATAGAAAAACGAATGAATGATGTCCAACACATGGTCATTATAGAAATGCTTATATACCTGCTGCCAAAGGAAACCTAGAAACTTTTAGGAATGGTTCATTAAGGCTTATATTGCTTTTAATGTTTCAATTCTGATATGTCAAAGCCCATAAGACAATTTGGTTATTTTTCTTGTCTTCTACCATTGGCCTCGCCAGCAGTTTCGTATTCAAGTCATCTTTGTCCTTTTAGTTTTTCTTTCTGTGAAGAGGGAATATAGTTCATGCCTCAGATACTAACCTTAGATTTATGGAAAACATAAACCATAATGAGGGAGTCAATAGACTGAATGCTTGTGTCTCTCCCAAATTCCTATGTTGAAACCTAGCCCCCAACATCATGTTATTTGGAGATGAAGTCTATGGAAGATGATGAGGTCACGAGGGCACAACCTTCATGAATGGGATTAATGCCCTAGACACTCTGGAAAGCTCCCTCTCCCCTTCCTCCGCGTGAGGACAGATGGAGAAAACAGCTGTTTAGGAACCAGGAAGAGGGCTCTCGCCAGACACAAATCTATCAGGGCCTGGATCTTGGATTGCTCAGCCTCTAGAACTGTGAGAGCTAAATATCTGTTGTTTATAATCCACCCAGTCTATGATATTTTGTTATAGCAGCCCAATGCATACTCAACTGCAAGAACGGAAAGTGTGATTATAAAAGAGCACTAATAATAAACAGGCACAAAAATTTTTAC